GAAGGACTTACAGGCACATCTAAATTTGTAAGTACTCCTTACTATTCTCATGGTATCATCGGGTTCATTCTATAACTTTCATTCTTCATAGTTGTTTTGTATTGCAAACTCTTTCCTGATTAGTTCCTTTAAGAAACGTCTCTTCTGGTTTCTTTCTACAATTCTTCCATCTGTTCTTATAATCCTCATATGAACGTGGTCTTTCTGCTTCTTCTATAATTTTCCCTCTTTCATTTAGTTTTTTTTTTCCTTTCTCTTTTATATAAACATGATATCCTGTTTTCAGGTGGTTTTAATGGTCTTGCATTCCTATCATAATAACGTTTTTTGTAAGGTTTGTCTCTTCAGTAAATGTTGTTTTATGGTCTCATATCGTTTAGCTTGGACAAAATTCTCTTTTATAGGCATCAATCCATTTACTTTTTCTTCTAAAACATCAATTCTGAAGGTGACTTTAATTTCATCTGAAATAGGAGAGTTACGATATTCCAGTAATACTAAATATGGATCCTTGTTGTCAACTACAGCTTTTTCTAACATTCGCTTGACAGTTTGAATATGTCTTTCAACCATTTCCATTACACTTGTGGGTAATTTAGGACTTTGAAGTTTCTGGTCTTCAAATTCCATTCTTCTTGCAAAATTCTTTAAATTTTTCATGCAATTATATTGTGGACCATTGTCCGAATATATACTATTTTCGGAATACCATGTCTTGCAAAAAAGTGATTTCAATTGCTTTATCACACTGCTACACTTGACAAATCTTCCAAATGTCCAATTTCAACATATTTGCTAAAATAATCTATAACTATTAAATAATCCCTTCCTTGAAAGTAAAAGAGAGGGTCTGTTCCCAATACTTCCAATGGACCATTAGGTATTTCTTTAGATATCATTGGTTCTTTAGTATTAGCTTTTTGTAAACTTAAACATGTTTGACAATTCAGTACCAAATCTTCAATTTCTTTCGACATTCCTGGCCAATATAATATTTCTCTTGCTTTGATCTTGCATTTTACTACTTCCTAAATAACCATAATGAATTCTGCTTAACATATCTTTTCGTAAACTTCTTGGTACAACAACACAGGAATTTTTAAATATTAATCCATTTGCTTCTGATAGTTCTTCTCTGAAGTTAAAATATGATTTCACCAGTTCTGGAACCATGCATTTTTCATCTGGCCATTCAGTTTTAATTAATTTTCTTAAAACTTGTAGTTCTTCATCTTTTTCTGTTTCCAGTTGAAAAACTTCCATTTTACCATTAGACATTGGTATACATTCTAAAACCAGTCCCACATAAGCTTCTATATCTCCTTCAAAGAAATCAGATCCTTCATCAGTGAATGATCTTGATAATGCGTCCGCTATAAAAAGTTCTTTTCCTGGTTTATATTTTATCTCAAACTGATATGGCTGTAATCTTATACGCATTCTGTGTAGTCTTACAGGGCATTTTTTTAATGGCTTTTTGAAAATTGATTCCAGTGGTTTATGATCACTTTTCCACAGTAATATTTTTTCCAAATATATACTGGTGAAATTCTCTCAACACGCAAATACAATAGCTAAAGTTTCCTTTTCAATTTGAACATAATTCTTCTGTGTATCTGTTAAGGCCTTAGATGGCATATGCCACTGGTAAAATTATTCTGCAGTAAGACTGCTCCTAGTCCTTCTTGAGATGCATCTACAGATAAAACTACTACTGGCATGTTTTATATCATAATACTGTAAAACTGGTTTATTTACTAAAGACATCTTTTAGTCTTCTAAATGCTTTTTCATGTGTTGCATTCCAGTTCCAGATAACTTGTTTTTTCAAAAAATCTCTTAAACATGATGTCAATTCTGATATATTAGGTATAAATCTAGAAACATATGTAATCATTTCTAAGAAAAGTTTCTAATTCTTTCACATTTTTTGGTTTTGGTTTTATATCTAGAATAGCCTTAATTTTGTTTTCCTTTCTGGTTTTTTAAACCATCTTTAGAAAAATATATGTCCCATATATTTCACTTTCATTCAACCCAAATTTACATTTATTTAAATTAAATTTAACATTCTTTTCTCTGGCTCTGTCCAACAACTTCTTTAATTTAAAAATCATGTTCTTTTTTTATCTTTACCCCCCAAACTAATAAGTCATCTATATATATTTGAATCCTTCTAAATCACTAAAAATTTCAGAAAAAACTTCTGTGGAAAACTTCTGGTGATGAACTCAGTCCATATGGGCAAACCTCAAAAAAACAATATCTACCAAAAACGGAGTGTGTTAAATGTAGTAAATTCACACTTGAATCTGACAGGTTTAATTTGCCAAAATGCTTTATTTGCATCTAAAAAAATACTAAAGACCTTTGCATTGCATTTGTCATTTGAGATGAAATTTCTTCAAAGGTTGGTATGTGATAATGTTTCTCTCAATGTATTTTGGGTTAAGGTGCTGAGGATCTAAACACCTCTTAAAATTACCATCCTTTTTCCTTACTACCACTAATGAATTCACGAATTCTGTTTGTTGGTTTTAACTTCTTTATAATACCATCTTTTTCCATTCTTGCTAATTCCCTTTTTAATGGATTTAATAAGCTAAGTGGAATTTTTCCTACAGGGCTCTGTTTTACCAACAGCTCCTGGTTTTAATTTAATATGATATGTATATCCAGTTAAATTCCCAGTTCCTTTAAACAAATCTTGATATCCTTTTAAAGATTTCTGGTAACTTTTCATTGGAATCAGGATTTACTGTACAAATCCTTTGAATTAGGTTAATTTTTGCAATGTAGGTAAACCTAAAATAGCTGGAACAAGTTTTATCCACATGCTACGACTTGAAATTTCTACTTCATCCTTGTCCCCTTTCGATGTCTCACATAATAATTTACATTTTCCGACTACATCAATTGTAGTACCATTGTAATTATTTAAAGTGACTTTTGATTTAGTCAAACATTTCTCTCTTAAATTTAATTGTTTAAATTTAAGCAATGGGGGCACATTACACTGAGCTCCAGTATCCAACTTAACAAATAAATGTTTAGATATGTTTACTTTTAGTTTTTCAAACTATTCTGTTTTAATTTTAGAAAATGGATTTGTATCTTCTACTGACCCTAAAATATATTCATTACCATTATTATGTAACTCATGCTCTAAATTATTCTTTAAACATTAACATTTTTTAAGTGCACATTTTAGAAAAGTGAATTTTCTTTTTACAGTACAAGCAAATCTTATTATAAACAGAACAGTTGTATAACTTATGAAAAGTTCCACATTTTCTACATGGTTTTGGATTATTGTACTTATTTCCTTGATAGTTTGAAGAAGAATTAGTACTTTGTTGCTTTTGTTTTACATGCTAGTTTTTCTTACAAGGCTGACTTTTTTCCTTTGAAGGTGGAAATTTATTACGTTTGATCGCTTCTATTTTATTTTCTTCAGTCTCTATTTTATTTTCTTCAGTTAAAGTTTTCAGTTGAAGTTCTGCTAATTCAGAAGCTTTACACATTTTAATACATTTCCCCAATGTTAACTGATCTTCCCTTAATAATCTATCTTTGAGATTTTTATTTAGAATTCCACTTACTATTCTATCTTTTATTAATTTATCTTTTAATTCTGCAAATCCACAGTTGCTACTTAATTTCTTTAAATCGGTTAGAAAGTCATCAAACGATTCACCTACATGTTGTGTTCGACAGAAAAAAATATATGTCTATCTACACTTTCGTTTGCTTTCGGTATGCAAAAATTTTCGAAAGCTTCAATTACTTTGTCAACATCCTTCTTATCTTCTTCACTTAAATTAAATTAAAAAGAATTAAACTTTTCAAGTGCTTTTCACCCTTCACAATAATATGCAACAAAAATAGCTACTTTAATTTCAGGTGATTTAGTAATACCACCAGACGCTAAACATATAAATTTGGAATTTTTGTTTCCATTTCTTCCAATTTTCGCTTTAAATTTCCTTCGAAACTTAGATTACTTGGTGGCTTTAATCCATCCATATTTAATTTAGGTCTTTAAATAGTTTATATATACGTATTTTTAGCCTCTTCCAATAAAAATAAACAACGCACTTACCAGCGATATAAGTTTCGATTTCTCAGTAAACAACTTCCCATCATGTTTTTGTTTAGAATATCTTTACCCACGCTGCATGGTTCTTCAAAAAAGATTTTCTTTTTAATCTACCTTCGGCTGCGCCATGTGTTGTATTTTATATGTGTTGGGTATGTGCTCAGTGATGATTACAAGATGTACACAAACATCGTTTATTCTACATTGCTCATCTACTATTCTATATTACAGTTATGATTAAAGATAATAATAGATACAGTTATAGTTACATATATAACAGTATACATCTTACACATGGGAAAAACCACGAAAACACCATGCAGCCAGCCCGTTCGCGAGATTCGAACCTCGGACCGAACTACCAGCGTTCAGTGACTTTACCGCTCGGCCGCTGTTGGGCCTGAACGTGAATGATCTGTGCATTTGTGTTTGGTCGTAAAAGCGTCATCAGTTAGCATTTTACTGCATTATACTTTGTTTTATTGTAATATAATTATTATGCCTTCTGTTGTTGAAATATTCAATAAAAAGTGAATTTATGGCTATTTGAATCCACATAATTACTAATATGCAAAACAAAATAATGTACCTAAAATAATGAAATTATCGAAGAGAGGGAAGAATAAGTTCTTCTACAAATTGAGCCGCCCGAATCCTTCTGCTTTGTTTCTTTGCTCTTTATCACTATACTAGACAAAGCTCTGTGGTTTGATGATTGAATTAGGTTTTCATGAAGCCTGACTATCTCCTTTAGTAAAATTTTTTACAAAAGGATTAATATTCGTCAAGAACCAACAAAAATAGAATATTTATTTTCATCAGATTTCTTTGCACATACAAATAGAACAAAAGAGTTTTACGAGATAAATAATATGTATAATGATTATCTTTTACATTATTTAATTATAGGCAGAAAATTAAAAGACTAAGCAAATTAGTAACAATCTTAATTTTATTTGGTTAGAAAGTGAAAAAAAAAATGTCGTCTAAATAGTCAAAAGTTCCAAGTACTGGATTCCGAGTAACTGGAGTTCTGTTGCATAAATTTAGAATTATACAGCACAGTCTTACCTTTTCCATTTTAGATAGATGTAGGGCATAGGCATCCCTCGCTCTAAATTGCATGAAACGCATGTTGCAAGACTGGCTCAGTTCTGTGATGATACGGACACTCGGAAACAATCTGCAAAATGACAGCAAAAGGAGAATATAACTAAAAAATAAAAGGATATAAATACCAATCAGAATTTTAAACCCCAAATAACTTTAAGATTTATGGCTATATGCAAACTACCGAGTGGATATCTCAGGGATAAGTAAATCGAGCAATGGCATCAATCTGTCGACGCTAAGTTCCCAAAATTTTGCTTATCAGGAGCAACAACCTGATTCAGCATGCGAAACGCTTCTGCATGCATTTAAGGCGATAGAATAAGTCTTTGGAGATTAATTAGGTGAACATTTTTTTTCTATTGTGTTTGCTAGAGCTGAAAAGAATCAAGTCTGATTTATATAAGTATTTACCTAATTCGCTTGAAATGACAACTGTGGTACCGGATGATTTTGATTTTCTGTTTAAGTGGTCTTATCGGTATTTATATAGGCACGCTGCTGGTTGCTTCCAAAGTTGGTCATCGTAATCAGTGATTACCACAAAAGGATTCACATTTTTACTTCCTTGTACGAAGTAAAGGAAGTAAAAATGTATTTAAGTATTGTAATCGCGAAAAATTTCGGGTATCATATTTCACCGAAAATATCCATTTTGATCGCTATCGAATGCAATTTAACAATGCTTTTGCGTGACATCTGTACATAAGGACAGAATAAAAGACTCTTTTCCTCTAAAAAAATTATAAAACTGATTTAAAATGGATTCTGAAGAGACTTTATTTCGTCTGTACGTACGTACGTACGTATGTATGTATGTATCTCGCATAACTCAAAAACGAATAGCCTCAGAACGCTCAAATTTTGCATATAGGACTGCTATAACATGTAGATGTGCACTTCCCTTTTTGGTTGCAATCCACCTCACTAAAAGTATATAAATATATGCATATATATATCACTCTGTTATTCGGCTCAGTGAGCTCAGTTTCTTTACTCTCATATGTTTGTAAATTGTGCATTTTTTGCTTTAAAAATGATTGAATTATGCTGTTCATTTTCTTCCGGTTAAGGGTTTTCTGCCTTTAGTTAACCTACATGTTATAGTTATAGAATTATCACAATTTCTAAGTTGTTTAAGTGCGGCTAACCCTAATTTGTTTGCCACACCAACCATATTTGTTTATATTTGAAACTTAAAAGTATATTGGATTTGTTGCCAATCTAGAGAAACTAAGCTTCGCAACAACAGCGTAACGTCTGCTTTTATTATTGCGAATTAAATTATGCTTAATCCATTCTGGACTTATCATTTAAGTTATTAAATTATCTCATATATTGACTCAGCATAGCGTCTCAACAAATTAAATCAGTTTATACGCCTTCAGTGTGTTTTTGCCGAGTGAGACCAAAAGTAAACTTTCAGTTTTGTGCACCGAAAAATATGCTTTCTTGTCCGATGGCCGAATTGCTTGTTTTTGCGTAGAAACTGTAATTTTAATTGTTTTAACTGTACTTGGTTTTTTATGTTTTTCTACATTTTTCAATTTTTAATGAAAATATTTAGAATTTTTACGTATTTTTGCCTTGAAGCGAACTGAATTAATCAGTAGCGCATTAGGTAAGCAGCGCTTAATCGTCTGTGAAAAACTGTTTCATTTTTATTTGTTTAATTTCTTTTATATATCGTTTTAGATTTATTATAGTATTTGAATAGAACATATGGTAATTCTTGAGATGATATAATTTTTGTGCACTCTGAGTTATAAAATGAATGAGATGTAACGTTGTTATGTGAACCTAGCGCCAAAGTGTTGCTATGGTAAATAAATATGGTGAACGTTAAAGAGTACATTTTATTATATTGTGGTTTATGCTCTATTGCCGAAGTATATTTAATTCAAAATTCGTTAACTGTTAATTCAATACGTTGTTTAAACGAAATGCAGGAAAATTGCGTATAATTTAATATTCCGTTTAAGGAAGTCATATGGTGTACACATTAGATTTTTTAGTTTCACGATAATTATGTCGCAGCCATCCATTGGGTTGAATTAGCAATGTCGGCCATAAAACTCCATTATCTGAAATATTTTATGTAGTTAACTGCATGATTTGTGTTTCTTACCCAGTATGTAGCAGGTCATGGCATCTTCCCTACACATTTCTTTTTTTCGTCATTTTCATATGCGACGAACAGGGAGACCCAATCATCTGAAACATCCTCAAAACACTGACTGGATATTTAAAAGATTTAACATTAAATCACCAGATGTAATGAACAAACTAGC